TCCCAGATTAGACTCTGTATAGCAGAAAACAAAGAGAAAACAGTAGAGGAAGGAGAAATCCTACCAGCATCTTCAAGGGATACTATAGCATTAACTATATACTGACTATCAGAAAATAAATTAAATACAGAATCTTTAAACATCACAAAAGCTTGTAAAACTGCATTAAGGAGGAGGAGGAGGGGGAGGAGGAAGAGGAGGAGGAGGAGGAAGGAGAGACATTACAACTAATATTACAGAAATACAAAGGATCATTAGTGATTATTATTAGTCTTACACCAATAAACTGGAAAACATGAAATAGATGGACTCCTGAGCACATATAATATACAAAGATCAAACATGAATAAACAAAAACTTAGGCCTGTAATAACTAACAAAATTAAGTCAGTAATAAAGTCTCCCAAGAAAGAAAACCCCAGAATCAAATAGCTCCAATGCTTAATTCTGCGAAACTTAAAAAATTGTTACACAATTCTAAAACTATTTTGCAAAGTTGAAAGGGAGGGAATTCTTCCAAACTCATTCAAAACCAGCATCACCCTTATACCAAAAACCAGACAAGGACAAAACAACCAAAAGAGAAAATTACAAATCAATATCCCCAATAAATACAGATGCAAAAGTTCAACAAAATTCTAGAAAACTGAAACCAACAGCACATCAAAAAGATTATATACTATGATCAAGTGGGATTTATTCCAGGGATGCAAGGTTGGTTCAACATATGCAAATCAATAAATGTGATTCATTACATCAATAAAATGAAGGATAAAAACTATATGATCCTGCTAATAGATACAGAAAAAGCATTTGACAAAACTCAACATCTATTCATGGTGAAAACTTTTAACAAATCAGATATAGAAGGGACATATCTCAATACAATTAAGGCCATATATGATAAATCTCTGAATAAGGAAATTTTTTTTCCTTTAAGATCTAGAACAAGACAAGGATGTCCACTCTTACCATTCTTATTTAATACAGTAATAGAAATTCTAGTAACAGCAATTAGGCAAGAGAAGAAATACAAGAGAAGAAAAAACTGAAAAGCAATGAATCAAACTACCCTTGTAGGATTTCAAATATAGAAATACCTAAAGACTCCAGCAAAAAACTGTTAGAAATGACAAGCTCATTCACTACAGTTGCAGGATTGAAGATTAACATATAAAAACAAAATAGTGTTTCTACATACCAATAATGAGCTAGCTTAAGAAGAAACCAAGAAAGCAATTTAATTTACAATGGCTACCCCAAAACAAAAAAACCTGTAAACAACCCTAGGAATAAACTGAATTAAGGAAATGAAAGAACCCCCTCAACACACACACACACACACACACACAAAACAACAACAATAACAACAAACCTATCAAGCGCCAATAAAAGAAATGGAAGAGGGAACACACAAAAACTGGAAAGAGGGCTGGGTTGTGGCTCAATGGTAGAGTGCTTGCCTCGAATGCGTGGAGCACTGGGTTAGATCCTCAGCATCACATGAATAAATAAAATAAAAGTAAGGTGTCCATCTACAACTAAAATTTTTTTAAAACTGGAAAGACACCACACATATGTGGAATGAAAGAATTAATATTATTAAAATATACATATCACCCAAAGCAATCTACAGACTCAATGCTATCCCTATTCAAAACATCAATGATATTTTTCAATGAAATAAAAACAAAACTCCTAAAATTAATATGGAGCCACAGAAGAACCCAAATCACCAAAGCAACCCTGAGCAAAAAGAACAAAGCTGGAGTCATCAACAAATATTTGATTTCAAAGCAGACTGCAGGCCAGATATGATGAATGATTAATATCCCAGAAATTTGAGAGGCTGAGAAAGGAGAATGACAATTTCTAGGTTCTCACAATTTAGTGAGACCCTATCTCAAAAAAATAAAAAGGATTGAGGATGTAGTTCTGTGGTACAGAGCCACTGGGTTCAATCCCCAGTACCGAAAAAGCAAACAAACCAAAAAAAACCTTACAGATCTATAGTAACCAAAACAGCATAATACAGGCATAAAAAACCAGCACAGAGACAAATGAATAGAGAAACCAGAAACAATGACAAATTTATAGTCAACTGAATTTTTACAAAGACAAGAAGAACACCCACTGGAAAAGGGCAATCTCTTTAATAACTGATGCTGGAAAAACTCAATATCCACATGAAGAAGAAAGAACTAGAGACCTATCACTCACCATGTATACAAAAATCAACACACCAAGAAAAGACTTAACCTGAACTATTTAAAATACCAGGAGAAAAACATAGGCGAATCAATTTAGGGTGTTAAGTCTCGACAAAAAATTTGGGATATGGCCCCATAAGAACAGGCAATAACAGCAAAAATAGACAAAGAGGATTATACTAAACAAAAAAGCTTCTATGTATCCAAGGAAAAAATACAGACTTGATTGATGATCTATAAAATGAGAATAAAATATTGGTAAACTATTTATTCAATAAAAGATTAATATATATAATATATAAGGGACGCAAACCACTCAACATCAAGAAAAAACAATTATAATGGGCAAATTATTCGAACAGGCATTTCTCAAAGGAAGATATAAAATTAACAAGTATATGAAAAAAATTCTTAACTTCATTAATCATCAGGGAAACACAATTCAAAACTACAATAAGATATCATTTTCTCCCCAGTTACAATGACTATTCTAAAAAAAAAAAAAAATCAAATATAGGCAAGGATGTAGTTTAAGGAATTCTCATATACTACTGATGGGAATGCTAATTAGCAATAGCCATTATGGAAACAGTATAGTTTCCTCAAGAAACCAGAAATAGACTACCACATCATCCAACAATTCTAATGATTGGATTTAGAGACAAAGAAAATGAAATCACCATAATGAAAAGGTATCTGCACTCCTGTGTTTAATGAAGCATTATTTGCAATATCCAAGATATGGAAACAAGCTAGGGATTCATCAAAGATTAATGGATAATTAACACATACATACACAAATATTATTATTTAGCCATATGAAAAATGAAATCCTCAATGATTGAGGAGAAGAGAGAGTCTACGGTATGGGAGCAAATTTTTACCACACACACATCAGATAGAGCACTAATCTCTAGGATATATAAAGAACTCAAAAGACTTAATATAAATAAAAAACACTCACTCAATGGGCTAACTGAACAGATACTTCTCAGAAGATATACAAATGATCAATAAATATATGAAAAAGTGTTCAACATCTTTAGTAATTAGAGAAATGTAAATGAAAACTACTCTAAGATTTCAACTCATCCCACTCAGAATGGCAGTTATCAAGAATACAAGCAGTAATAAGTGTTGAAGAGGATGTGGGGAAAAAGGTATACTCACACATTGCTGGTGGGACTGCATATTGGTGCAACACTTTGAAAAGCAGTGTGGAGATTCCTCAGAAAACTTGGAATGGAACCAACATTTGACCCAGCTACCCCACTCCTTGGTCTATACCCAAAGGATTTAAAATCAGCATACAACAGTGACATAGCCACACCAATGTTTATAGCAGTTGAATTCACAATAGCTAAACTGTGGAACCAACCTACAACAGATGAATGGATGAACAGATGAAAGGAGGGAATTCAACAGATGAATTGATGAAGAAACTGTGCTATATATAAACAAAGAAATATGACTCAGCATTAAAAGAGAATAAAATTATGGCATGTGCAGGTAAATGAATGGAGTGGGAGAATATTATGCTAAGCAAAATAAACCAATCCCAAAAAACTAAAGGCCAAATGTTTTCTCTGATAAGTGGATGCTGATCTGTGATGGGGGTGGGGGGAGGGAATGGAAAAATGGAGGAACTTTGGATTGGGCAAATGGGAGGGTAAGGGAGGAGTTATGGGAGTAGGAAAGATGAGGGAATGAGATGGTCATCAATACCCTAGGCACATGTATGATTGCATGAATGGTGCGTCTCTACACCATGTACAACCAGAGAATTGAAATGTTGGGCTCCATTAGTGTACAATGAATTGAAATGCATTCTGCTGTCATGTACAACTAAGTAAAATAAATAATAATAATAATAATAATAATAATAATAGAAATCCTGTCACTTTGTAGCAACATGGATAACTAGAGAAAATTATGTTCAGTAAAGTCAGGCCCAGAAATATCTGTAGAAACTAAAACCAATGCTCCTCAGGAGCAAAATATAGAGTTATCAGAGGTTGAGAAGTACGGGGGGGGAAAGATGGAGAGAGAATGGTTAATGGGTAGAGGAGTATAGCTGGATAGGAGGAATAACTTCTATGGCACAGTAGGTAACCATGGTTAATAGCAAGTACGTAAATATTTTAAAATTTTGAATGTACCCAACATTAAAAAAAAAGATTACATCTGAGGTAATGAATATATGCCAGTTACTTTGATCTGATCATTACATATTGTATACAAGTAGTGAAATATCACTATCACCCATAAAAATCATAAGCCAGGTGTGGTGGYGCACATCCTAATCCCAACAGCTTTGGTTGCTGAGGACGGAGGATCGAAAGTTCAAAGCCAGGCTAAGCAACAGTGAGGGCTAAGCAACTCAGTAAGACACTGTGACTAAATAAAATACAAAATGTGGCTCAGTGGTGGAGTGCCCCTGAGTTCAATCCCCAGTATGCCCCCGCCAAATTAAATAAATAAATAAAGCAAGCAAGCAAGCACATTTTTAGTAAATATGTAGATATATATATTTTTTCAAGAATATTGGTTTTATTTAGAATATTGAAATACAAAAACAAAAATTTACATACCTATAACCATTGTGAAAATGTTAGAACCACTACAATGTGAAAATACTAAGGCACTGTTCCTTGAAATAATGTATTTAATATTCAAAAGTTCGTAAAGAAATATTTTTAATAAAAATGATTCAATCTTCTTATATTTTCCCTGAAAGACAAACTTAAACAAGTAGTAAGATATCCTAATGAATATGATATACCCAGGTTCAGGAATATCACTAGGTAAAAGAGTTTATATACCTGGATGTTTTAGCTTTTCAACATATTTTGTTTCATCACAGCAATACATCAGCCACAACAAGGCATAATCAGGCATAAAGTCATTCTGTTACATAATTTGATACAAAAGGTAGGAATATTACCAATGGGATAATGGAAAAAAACCTTTAAAATTCTATAAAACTATTGAGAAGTTAGAGTTTGAGCTATGTAATGCATTCTGAAACATTCCCTCACTTTTGTGTATTTGTTTGTTTAGTATATTTGAAAAAAGTTCATCCTGGAATATAAATGTAATCAGCCATAGTATGAAGGAGTTCTGTATTTTTGATGGCGCTGAGTCTTTGCTCTTTGGCATAATATGTGACAAAATAACTTGGCAGCAGGAGACGATATCTACATTCATTGCAAAACAGAAATGTGAGATTTCTACAGTGAATATCTAAGTAATATCATCTACTCTGGCTTATGTATTGACCTTATACTTGAAATATTTTTCCATAAATGTCAGTAACAGTGGACATGTGCCAAACACATATAGTGATAAAAGCAAATAAAAACAACAAGAAAATCAAAGCATACTTATAACTTTTTACTTTTGCTTGTGATGACCTTCTGTGCTCTGGAACTCCTGTGTTACATAAAATTGGAACTGGAAAGAGAAAAAAAACTTTTGATTGGTACAACACAAAACAATACAGGAAGTAAAAACTACCAGAGTCATTAGTTTTACAAAGATTTTACAAAAAAAATATATATTACAGGATATTTAGCTACAGCATTTTGAAAAAGAAAACAAAAAACAACCACCAAACCATAATTTCTTGAGGATAAATTCTGAGCTCTATGAATGCAGTTCTGATTTTGCAAACTGCATGGTTCTCAAGTGCAGTAGGGTGACAATTTTTACAATGTAAATGTAAGCGGTCTTTAATTTGAAAGGAAAATTAATTTTAGTAATATCTGAGATACAAGGATAAAGCAAAATATTGTTTAGCTTTATAATTTTAAAAAAGTATGYTGGAAAGCAGTACTATCATAATATTATAATATCTACAGTCTATCTTTTGAAATCCAATGCTTGAATCAAATATCACTATTATACTATCACATTCATTCTTTCAACAAAAAAATTGCAAGAAACACAGGCATTGAGAAAATTTAAGTCTTGCTCTGGGTCTATCATAGGAAGACATGACTTTGCTAGGGCACAGGTGGCTGGAGTAAACTGAGGCAAAGACCACAAAGGAGCATTCTGAACAGAACCAATCATGAATTTCACTATAGTCAAATAGGTAAACTGATAAGGACATTTTAAGTGGAAGAAATAAAATGAAGGACACAAAGTACAGAAGGAGATCAAAAAGGGGGGAAAAAAAACTTATTTTCTAAAACTTTGGTAACTTTGATTTTAACACATACCAAAACCTACAAGCTTGAGATTATCATCCAATTGCTACTCATGGCCGCCCCCTTGTACTGTGGCCCTCTCTACCTTCCTCTGCATCTTTACGTCCATCATTGGTTTCACATGTTCTGACATCAAAGCACAGGAGTTCGAATCGATAGCCTGGGTCCCTTATTAAAATAAAAATTCTCACAAAATCAATAATCAAAAGGATTGGTTAAAAGAAAAGTGAGCCTAAGAATTAGGGTTTTTTCCCCCAACAAAATACAGAGTTTCAATTTAGACACAAAACTCAAAATAACTCATGGTAGGTCAGCAGTCATTACCTGTATACTAAGGGCACAGCTGGGCTGTGAAATAGCTAATTTTTTCCCAGCTAATTGACCCTTTTCTACTATAATGTATATTTTTATCTTGTTCATTCAGTTGCCAAATATTTACAAAGCCCCTAGTATGTGCCAGGTACTGTTCTAGCTTTGGGAAAAGAGAAGTAAATGAGAAAGATAAGGTCTGTGCTTGTGGTCTTAAGGAGCAGCAGTTTGAGTTTCAGGAGGCAGGCAGAGAGTAAGTAAATAGGAACTAGAATTAGGAAGATCAAGTAGAACCAGGAGGATTGTGGGTGTGGCCCAGAATTAGAACGCTTACCTAGCACTGCATAAGGCCCTGGAGGTTTGATCCCCAATATGGAATTTCGGGGGTGGGCGGGGGGCAGGGAGCAGAGCCAGGAGACAGTAAAGGAGGGAAGGGCTACAGATGCAGAGTGGTGGGGGCGCTTACTTCTTACGATCCTTGTCCTTCTTTATGTTACTACCAGATGCCATATAGGATTGGTTCAGGAATATGTCACAGCTAGATTTCCTTTTAGAAAAATGGATCCTTTCTTCTTCCAAAGCTCTTCTCCTTTCTTCAAGTTTTAGTCTTTCTTCTTGGTGAATTCTTTTAAGGTGCTCAAATTTGGCATGCAGCTGTGAAATAAAAATGTAATTTCCATTACTGACACAGTGTGGCAGCACATGCACAACAATGCTCTCTGGCTCAGAACTAGATAACCCCGACTTCTACTTATGGTCATCATTTTCCTAATGCTAAGTTCATGCTTCAAGTAAAAGTTTACATATGGAATTGCCTTGGTAATTTTAATAATGCTTTCCCATGCAAAAAAAAAATGCTTGAACCATATGAAATACAAACCATAGCCTCATTAACAAAACTGACCTTTTTCTGGGTTTTTTATTTTATTGCTTTACAAGATTGTCTTCAAAGCCTCTTTAATAAAGTTTCTCAAGTCCATGCTCAAAAAAATAAGGGCCATGAAAGAACAGAAGGAAATTATCATAAAGAAAATAGCAACTTATTTTCCTAATAAAGCTAATGTGAAGTTATACTGGCAAATCCTAATAGAAAGCAAATGTTAGCTGTCAATTTGTCAAGAACCTTACAAATATACTGCATATTTACAGTCATTCAGTAACTTCTTGAAATATAAACAAGGAAATCCTGAATTCAAAAAAGTTTGAAAAAATATTTTAATAGAATTTACACTACAATGGAAAAAAAATAGATTACATATCCAACAGAGACAGTAAAAAATAAATAAATTTAGGCTAAATACATTCAATGCAGCTATGGGAGACCTGAATTTGCCACTCTAAAATATGAAGGCCTACTTAGCTGAAGACAATTAAGAAACAGATTTACAAGAGATCTCTGTTCTCCTTATAATGCCTAAAAGCAGGGCCGAGATTTACAAAGGGTACCTTCCATCTCCCTCACAAGGGGAACAAAGGTTTTACCAGCAGCCTAGAGAAAGCCTCAGAAGACCTTTTATTCACAAGCCTTACTAACTAGCCTTTATCTGCCTTTTCTTTTCTCTTGTTAATTCTTTAAAAATTCACKGTTCTTTGTTGAAGATTCTATAGTATCTTAAATTCAAAAGCACCTCTCTGAGAATTACTCATTGACTGGATATCTCTCATGTATATATGAAGTATAGATGTTAGTAAGCTCCAATTTTTCTGTGTTAATCTGAACACAAGAAGTCTGTTCCAACTAAGAATCTAAGGGGGTTCTTCTTTCCCTATTCATAAAAAAGCAGAAATGTAGAAAGAAAAATATAAAGACCATAAGCCAGTAAATTTTTATTTTCTTGGGGCTGAAAATCACTTTGATAAATCATATGAAGGGAACATTGTCAATTTAAAGGCAGGCCTGTGTTTAACTTTATTCTGCTCCCCAATTTAAGGAATTCCTATTGAGAACAACAGAAGGCATATTTCTCAAATGGCATAAAACTCCGAGAAACAAATAGCATTTTTATTAAAAAGGAAGCTTTTAAAAAATTGAGGGGCGGTACTTAACATTTTTAAAGTATGATGTCTGGCAGAATAAGCACTCAAGAAATACTAGTCATAAACAAAACAAACAAGGAATCGCAGCTCTATCCACCCTTCTATTACAGCCATCAAAGAAACCTTTAGCACTCCATGTTATAATTAATTGTATGAGCAACTTCTTCCTGAGGATTGCTTAGGAGCTCTGCTTTTTTCATCTTTCTACTCCTAGCACCCAGCAAAACATAATGGAAGAACTAGTAATGAAAGGACATACAGATAAAATGTATGGGAAGTGCTGCAAATAAGCTTACTAGAGTACACAAGGAATGAAGGTGTGAAATGGGGGTCAACTTCATGCTTTGAATATGAACCCAGCTGCTTGGCCTCTGGTAGTTTATTTTAAAACTAACGGGGGGGGGGAACCCAACATGGCGGCCAGCGAGGAGGCAGCACTTTCAATACCTCCACAGGATCAGAGAGACCCATTAATACACCTACATGCTACCTGCTGAGAAACTTCCAGCAAAATTCCACTGAAAGGAGACCTGCCGGGAATTAGTAAGATTATTGGGAGGTGTCAGTTTGTCCCAGACGAGTGAATCTCGACCACGCGGCGCGCAGGGGCCCAGTCCCGCCGGCCGCCGCCGAAAGGCCGCTGCTAGCCCAGCGGAGAACATTCGAACAGCCGCTGCCTGCCCGGGCCCCTGCCGGCCCGGCTCTGTGAACCATTCGGCGCTGCAAACAGACCCCCCACCTCCCTGTTCGGCGATGCAAACGACACCCGCCCCCTCGGGTGAACAGCTCCCACCGGCCCAGCACAGCGAACAGGCCCGCCCACCTGGCTCTGCGAACTACCCCACCCAACCAGCGAAAGGCACGCCCGCCCGGTCCAGGAGGCGACGTGAAGGGACTCTAACCAAGTCTTTATGAAATAGCGAACTGGGAGCTAAAACCAGAGATTGAGTCAGACCAGAGACAAGCCAGTCCGACCCCTCCCTTTGGATACTCCGGCAAGGAGCCAGGGGCCCGCCATAGCAGAGAGGGGAAGTCACCAGAGTTCGGCCAATGAGATTCCTTCCCAGCAGAATCTACTTTAGCAGGTGTGYGACTCCCACCAACACCAGATCAAACAACCAGGAAACTTCAAAAATCTCTCCGTGGGCGTGACCGTAAGGGCCAAGGGACTCCTGACCCCCAACTCCCCATACCGCCAGTGATGTGGGCGTGACTGTAGGGGCGGAGGGAAGCAGAGAAGATTCCCCACCCCCAACTCCCCCAACCGCCAATGGAGAGGGCGTGACGGTAGGGGCGGAGGGAAACAGAGGGCACTCCTGACCCCCAACTCCTCCTACCGCCAGAAGAGTGGTCGTGATTGTAGGGGCTGAGGGTAGCAGAGGGGATTCTCTACCCCCAACTCACATTAGCACCAGTGGCAATACCCAAGGTCTTAGCCGCCAGCTTCCCAGGGCGTGCCCACCAAAGGGGTCCGGAAAAATTAAACTATCGACTCCCAGACCACAGCTCCACAGCACTGGGGCTTAGATGAATGGTAGAGAGAGTGCTCAGTCGTTCGAGAAATAGGGCATGCAGTGGGGCTGAAAGTGTAACCAGATCCTTGGGGAACCACCTCTGGTGAGCAGGACCTGGCTGGCTGGCAGGAGGAAGGGGAGGAGGGGCCGGAGAAGTGGAACGACTCTGGACTAACAGGGTTGAGAGACTCCCAGGAGCCGCCTTACAGGGATTGCTGTCGACACATAGAGGGCAAAACTCAGCTC